ATATGTTGAGTGTGTGTGAGTGTGTATGTGAAAGTGTATGTACGTATCTCATTAATTAAAATTTCGGAGTTAACGTTGAAGACGCCTGAAGATTTTAATATTAATAATCAAAAAATACAAAAAACTACATATTAAAAATAGACAACAATTAAGAATTTGAAAGTTAGACCTATCAATCATATTGATACTAATTAATGTTATCTAATTATATTCTCTCATCGATTGTAGTTAAACAGAATAGGTAGAGATTTTATCTGTGTTGTGTTGTGCATTAATTTGTTAAAATATAAATAACGATATAAATTGACAATGTGTGAGATTGACTATGTCATCTCTAAATGGTATCGAAAAATTGAAAATATAATATTGTCTATGAAAAATACAGAACATTTCTTAGCACCACTTTCCTTCTCTAAGTTTTACCATTCTTTCCAGTTATTATACGATACAATTCCTAAAGGGTATCAAAGTATTTCACCCGTTTACTACCGTTAGCTTCGATATTTCAATCAGTTTGCGGTTACAACATTTTTTTTTATTATGGAAGAGGAGGTAGTTAAACAATACGACTCACCTGATGGTAAGTGGTCACCGTCGCCCATGAACAGCGTTGCCGGCCTTTAAGAAAGGAGTAGGCTCTTTTCTTGAAGGTGCCTAAATCGTATCAGTTCAGAAAAACCGCCGGCTACAGTAAATTCCACAGTATGGTAGGTAGTGTGTAAACCGCAAACCAACGAGATGATGAGGATGGAATTTCGACTTTTGTCGTAATGATATTAGAATTCAACAACTGGAATTAATCCGAACAATACCTTTGAACATCCCGTGGTATATGCGATAGAAAATGCAGAAAGATGCAACGTTTCTTCGCAAGGCCAGTGGATCAAGCCGATCGGAAAAAACCTGTTGGACTAAAAATAGTTCATAAAAATTTTGCTATCAATTGCTTATATTTATTTCCCTGGGAAATTTTGTTTTAATATTGAATATTTTTAATAGAACTTTTTCGCCTTTATAATTATTCAGCATAATATGCTGATGTTTTAATTCGTACATCAATAATACACATGAGCATTGCTACCTATCTTGTTTTTCAATACAACTAATTTTAATTTCTAAATATTAGGATACTCTAAAACATCTTCATTTCTATTTGAAAAAGAATTGTGTGCTTATATGTACACTCAATCTTTGAACATCGTTTGATTCTTAAATATAATTAAAACGTGCTGTATTGTCCACTAAATTCAATGAACTTTGACAAGTTCATTAAAAAAAAAAATAAGATCGACTACATTATTCATCTACTTACATTTTCTAACCTCTAAATGTTAAGCTCTACTATCTTTTTTATGTTCACTTAATAATGGCTCAATTTTCTTATCATTTGATATAAGCGATTTTGCAGAGGTCGCTGACGATGTCAAACCCACGGAAAGGGTGCAATTTGCGCTTAAAGTAGTCGAACTCGTTGGTGGAGTACCCGCTTGATTTCCTAAATTGTTAGTAGCTCCCGTAGTATTGCTTGTTTTGGAAGAAACGAGAGCAGTTACAGAAGGCAGTGTAGCATTATTACTTTTACATGTGCTTGATATGGCTTGTAATTCAGAATTTATTGTTGATGATATTTTTGATAATCCCGTGTTAGATGAACATTTTGAACTTACTGAAGTTACTATTATTTGACGTTCTGTAGCATTTTTTGCCTCCGAAAGAGTTTCATTCGTCGTAGGCCTTATTACATTAGTAGATTTTGAAATATCTGATCTGGTAGTATTATCTAGAGGTTTACGATAGTCGTTAGTGGTAACCAAAGTTTTTGGTCCTGATAATATTGTTTTGTCACTACTAATTATATTTTTTGGCTTTGGCACCGAATTATGTGGGTTTGACATTTCTTGTATAATGCTAGTATTAGATACTGTAGTACTGGGTTTCATAGGAAATGTATTAACAATGTTGCATTTTTCAGTTTTTGGTTTGTTTTCAGAAACGCGTGCAGCATCTATAACGGATACATTAGCACTGCTGAACGGTGTGGAAATATTGCTACTATCGAAATAATTACAATCAATTTGTTTTATCGTACCATCTAGGTCAGGAATATCTTCTACAGTGGCTTTTTTCTGTCGCTGTAGTTGCTTATTACTGGGAATGCTACTTGAAGATTTTGATGACTTTTCCTTTTTTTGGGAAGGTGGAGTATTAAGAGATTGCTTATTATAATTTTTTTTATTTTCATTACTCCAAACAGGTATTTTTGATTCAGATTTTGAAAAATCATTTAACGGTTTGTCTTTAGTACCTTTTTTCGTTTTATTATCATTGGCGCTACACGGTTCATAATCTCGCATATTTTTAGACTCATTTATAGTTGTGACATTACTTTCACATGTTATATCGATATCTTCATTAATTAAGATAGGAATTTGAGTATCTACTGCAGAAGATTTCTCAAGAGAAGTCGGTGATTTAGTAAGAAGTGTTGACTTTGTTACTATTGTTGATGAATTATTTTTACAATAAGAAGGTGCTATTTTCAAATCCGCCGGTTTGTCTATACTTAATATTGCTGCATTTAAACTCTCTTTAATGTCTATTGTTGTCTTAAGTAGTTTTTGAGCAGTTTCTTGAACAACTGTTTTCGAATTGTCAGTTTTAAGATTAGCTAATTCAAAATTTTTTCCGCTCCTATCAATGTCACTTGGAACAGATTTAATAACACTTCCTTCTATTGTTGATAAAATGGGCATTGGTGTTACTTGAACTGGTTCCATATGATTTGTTTTATTGTCGGTATGAATTTTAGCAGTAGTAAAAATCAATGGACTGGGGCTATAACTAGATGATTTGCTTCTATCAATTTCAACTATAACTGCAGTTTTAGATGGTACAGTTTTTGTAACATCGAGATCTCCAAAGACGTTCGTATTCATATGATTATATATTGGCGCTGTTACATATATGTTCGCACACGATTCCTTCGTACTTGTAAATACAATATTCTCTGATAAACTAGTAGAAGATGTAGGTGAAATTTTCTCTACTTTACTTTCAAGTAATTTATGATCAGCTTTTTCGGTTGTTAAATCAGTCTTAGATTTAGACATTAAAAATTTGGCACTTCGGGAAGAGTTATCAACTTTATCCTTTTCAGAACTCAACAGCGGTTCAATAACGGTATCGTCGGAGTCGTGACTGAAATTTGGTATTTTTCTTTTTACAGAACTGCGTTTTGTTTTAAGCCCCGTCGCTGTTTTCTTCACTTCATTATCAATTGTACTTGTTATAGAATTAGAATCAGCACCATCTTGGGATGCCTGCAAAAAATAAAATTTCAAATATAGTTTTGAGCCAAATCGCCACATATAAAGGGACAAATTAGCAAAACGATAGTTGATTCTAGCCATGATGAATTAAAAAAATATGGACCAAACTGTGAGTATCGAATTCCCGAGCGTCTCAGAACGCTACAAAAGATAGAAATGGCTATAGAGACGACATATATCGGTTTTAAGACTAAATTGTCATCATCGCAGAAGTTTGCGAGCTTATATTAATTATAAGGAAAAGGCGGCTTATTCTTGCCCGTTAATAATTCTAAATCTGTTTCTTAGTAAAAATGTGGCGTATATTGTCTTTCTAGAAGTTCTGCAATATAAAATTAACAACAAAGAGTACAATAGCATAATATTAACAAATAATCTATAAATATACTTGTATGTTGCAGGTTTATGACAAAACCTGATTTTTGATCAAAAAGCTAGGCTTTTGATCAATTGAAGAAGACAAATTTACTACTTTATGTTATCATAAGCCTGAGAAAATCCAGTTTTTTTATCTAACCTTGACTGATTTAGTTTTATGGTAAAATCAATGTCAGTTGCTATTTTTTTAAATAAATAAAACAATTAGATAACCTAACCTAAGCTTAAATTTCAAGTTTTTGGTCAAAAGCAGGATTTTTTCAGGTTAATGACAAGGTTAAGTAATAATTTTGCCTTTTTCCGGTTCTTGATCAAAAGCCAAGGTTTTTGATCAAAAACCTGATTGTAAAATAAACCTGCGACATATATAAAAGAAGATTTTCTGAGTGACTGAATACTCGTATCAATGCACAACCCATTCCCCAGCCAGCTCAGCTTTAGGGTGCTCAAATTTGTATAGAGAAAAAACATTATACATAGTGTATGTGTGTCAATTTTTTTTAAGACGGGTATAAAAAGTTAATTACTCGGACCCAGACACTCCATTCGTGGCTGAAGATGGGATTCGTCCACGACGGATTGAGTCGCAGTGGAGAGTAGTCAAGAGGTATTTCAGAAAACACATTACATTGTTTCATTTACGACTATCATAGCAGAGTTCAGGGCAACTTGTTTTATAGATAAGATAGGTCGAATCTGTACTAAAACCGAATCAACACGCCCCGTATTCACGTAAAGTGCCCTACTCCTAGTGTTTTTGTAAAGCCCTAGTCGCGGAGGGAGAGAACCCCCGCCCGCCCTAGCAAATCGCAGGTACCTGTGCGAGCTGTAGCGGCATAGGGTTGGTCGCCGAAGGAGATCGATAAGCCAAATTCGCAGAAGTGAGCATGGGTGCCTGCTATTTACTACGCAAAGGCGAAGGGGCTGCACTGCCCGCAGCGCCGAAGCCGTCGCAGAAGTAACTTTGAGTCATTATTACTATGTAAAAAGGTGAGGGTATGATATTACAAAAAAAAATCATTACTTATAAACTATACTTTTCCGCAAGAGAGGAGGGTAGAGGGGAGCTTCCCCTGAACCCATCCTCCCATCCACTTACGCAAGTACCGGATGTATTTAGTTTTACCAAATATAATTATTAAACTAAAACAGAGATAACTACTGTAATGATAACAGAGCTTGGTAGTTATGAAGCAATTTTAGGAAATGAGGCCGAACATTATGTAGGTGTAACGCGAAGAGAGCGTGAGAGCGGTGTACCTTCCGCATGGCGAGGAGCGGGTGCGCGTGGGGTCAGGCGCCGCGCTCGCGCAGCACGGGGCGGCCGTGCAGCAGCAGCACGGGCGGCGACAGCTGCGGCTCGCGCACCAGCACCGACGCGCCCGCCGGGCCCCACTCATCCGTCGGCCGCGACAGCACGCGCGCTTTCTGCAACCACACAATAAATTATAGTACTACGTACAGAAGTTGCACTCTTTTGATGTTGACTATTTGCCGACGTTTTAATAGTCTACATAACTACAATGAGGTAAATCACGCACGCATGGCTCTACGTCCGTATGGCTTTGCATCTTTTCCCCTCCCTGCGTCACGAACAATAATTCGTGGTTAACGTGTTGGAGAGGTGTTTTACGTTTATATTTTTTTAGTCTCGGAAATAAACGTTATTAAATTTAAGAGTGGAAAAAGTTCTAAAGATGACGTATAATTTAAAGTAAATACTAGGATGGGAAACATTGACACGGAGTGACAAAATTAATAATCCTTAATAATTTTAGTAAATTATTTGCTAGTTTTTAGGCTTCCGTATCCAAAGGGTAACCAACGGGACCCTATTACTAAGCCTCAGCTGTCCGTCTGTCCGGCCGTACGTCCGTCCGTCTGTCTGTCAGCGGGCTGTATCTTATGATCCGTAATAGGTAGACAGTTGAAATTTGCACAGAATGTGTATTTCTGTTGCCGATATAACAACGAATAATAAAATTAACTACAAAAACAAAATTCAGGTCAAGACAATATCTACTCGGGGCAAACTGTGCAACAAAACCAAGGCGACCCCTGCCACGCTATCCGTGAATTTCTACAACATCAAGGGACTTCACTCGAACCTAAACGCCGCCCACTACCATGTCGAGTCTGTGAAGCCGGCCTTGCTCTTTCTGACCGAGAATCAGGAGCGCTCTCCGGCTGATACTTCGTAACTCTCCTTTCCGGGGTATAAATAGAAACACTCCTTTGTGCCTCGGGCTGGTGTTTGCGTATACGTCAGAGAGGACATCTATTCTCGACGTCTCGGCAGTCTTGAAGGTTCGGACCTATCCATCGTTTTGCTACGCGTAGACAGTGACGACCATCCATGAGTCTACGGATGCCCCTATAGGTCCCATAGCGGTAATTCCGAAACAGACCGACTCATCGACCACGTCAAAATGGCTACAGATACGTTGCTACAACATGTCCCATCTGCAGAGATCGTGATCCTTAGCAATTTTAACGTCCATCATGCCAAATGGCTCGGTTCACGTTTAACCGATCATGTGGGGGATCTGTTTATGATTTTGCCTTGGCATGTGGTCTGACACAACTGGTTACTTCGCCTACGCGGATTCCAGATGTGGAGGATCACGCACCTTGACTGTTTGACCTTCCGCTGACCTCTCATCCAAACAGATATCAGGTCTCCGTCGACGATCCTCTTGGCTTCCCGGATCTTTGTCGCCTAGAGTGTGGTGCCACTCACGCTAACATATCGGTTGTATTCTGCAGGCTGCCGTCGTGTTTAGCACTATAGGTCGGTCCATTGGGATAGGATGTGGTCTTTCTTTGCATCCTACCCTTGGGGGCGGATTAGATTCTCGTTGGACGATCCCAACGTTGTTGCTAATTCTGTTGGTGATGTGGTACTTCAGGGTATGGAAGTTTTTATTCCTTCCTCTGTGGTGCCCATCGGAGGCAGATCTCAACCATGGTTTAGTCGCACCTGTAAAATAATATCACGCTACAAACAGGAGTGCTACCGGGCATGGGCTGACGCATCAACGTCCCGGGATGTAAACACCAGTGCCCTTAAAAGAAGTATAATTCCGCCTCCAGGTTCTTCAAAAAAGTCATTGCCAAGGCAAAGTCAGAGCACATATACAGAATTGGTGAGAAACTAGTTCGCCTTCCTTCGGGAACCCGTGCATTCCGGTCTCCGCCAAGGCTATCCAAGGGAACTTCTGTCAGCCATCTCTTCCATCTCTGCACAGGGAAAACAACTCACTGGCCCATGCCGCAAAGGAGGAAGCCGATCTGCTAGACTTTTTCTTTGCAACCAACTCGACTCTTGATGACGGGAGGAACACACCGTCGACCATCCCGCGGTGTGAGTGCTCCATGCTGGATGTTTGTTTCACACAGCGCTCGGTTCGTAAAGCACTCCTCTCCCTAGACATCCACAAGTCGAGTGGGCCTGACGGAATCCCCTCAATTTTGCTGAGGACGTGTGCTCCGGAATTGGAACCAATTTAACGGGTCTTTTCCGGTACTCCTACTCCCTAGGCGTAAACCCCAAATCATGGAAGACGGCTTTTGTCTACCCGATCCCCAAAAAAGGCGACCGCTCAGACCCGTCTAACTACGGGCCTGCCACGATCACCTCCTTGTTCTCCAAAATAATGGAATCCATTATAAACTGCCAGCTCAAGCGGTACATTGAGGATCATCAGCTAATTAGTAACCACTAAGACAGTGATCTGGTCTACCTGACTCATAGATGGGCGGATCCAGTAAATCCAAGATGGAGGCATTGGCCGTTAGTTTGGACATTGTGAAGACCTTCGATGTGCCGTGTAGTGGCGGTTAAGAATATCCACTACCCCATATCTTCCCGTGGGTGTCGTAAAAGGCGACAAAGGGAAACAGGCAGGAGATGGGCAGCAGCATCTTCCTGATATTAGTCAAAATAACAATAAAAAAACTGCGGTTGCCAACCCGCTCGCCAAGCGTGGCAACTATGGCAATATCCCCCCCATGAGCAATGACAATAATAAACGGCCCCCAGTCCCCGGCGGCCCCGCTATTCCTGGCTACGGTGGCGACCATGGTAACGGCGGGGCAGGGGGTGCTAAGAATCTCCGGTGGAGGTTCGGTTGCCACCTACGACGACTCGACCTGGCAACATACAACGCACGCACCCTGAGGACTGACGAGAAGATTGTGGAGCTGGAAGAAGAGATAGACAAGTTACGCTGGCATATTATAGGATTATCCGAAGTCCGAAGAGAGGGGGAGGACACGGTAATCCTCGAATCCGGCAACTTGCTCTATTACCGGGAGGGCGACCATCTGTCCCAAGGAGGTGTCGGATTTATCGTCCACAGGTCTCTCGTTAACAACGTTGTAAAGATTGAGAGTGTGTCGACGAGGGTTGTGTACCTTATTCAGAATCACCAAACGGTATTCGCTGAAGGTCATACAGGTTTACGCACCAACCTCGGCACACCCCGATCAGGAGGTGGAGGAAATGTATGAGGATATCTCTAGAGCCATGCATTCCTCCAAAACCCAATATACGGTGTTAATGGGAGACTTCAATGCAAAACTAGGCACAAGAGAGAACGGTGAGCTGAAAGTAGGGAAATTTGGAATAGGGCAACGGAACCCAAGGGGCCAGCAGTTGGCTGACTTCATGGAGAAAGAGGGACTCTTTATGATGAACTCTTTCTTCCAGAAGCGGCCCCACAGGAAGTGGACCTGGTCGAGCCCCGACGGTTCGACAAAAAAAAATGAGATTGACTTCATTATGACGACCAGACGACAACTGTTCAGTGATGTCTCAGTGATCGCGAGGGTGAAAACCGGCAGCGATCACCGAATGGTTAGAGGCACACTGAACCTAAACGTTAAGTTGGAGAGGTCTCGTCTAATGAAGTCAACGCTCCGTCCCCCTCGTGCTCTAATCCAAAGTCCCGAAACCTTTCAGCTCGAGTTACAAAACCGTTTTCAGTGCCTAGAAGACTGCAATGAAGTGGACGATTTGAATGACAAGCTCGTGGAAACTGTTCATGCGGTCGGAGCTAAGTTCTGCAAGACCCGCCGCAGAAGAATACAAAAACTCTCCGATCACACTCTTAATCTCATGGCTGTTAGACGGGAGATGAAGCTACATTCTTCAACAGATTTAACAGCATACAGGCAACTGAACAGACAGATCTCCAAATGCATGCGGCGGGACTTACGCAACTTCAATACAGCTCGTATTGAAGAAGCGATCGAGCGGAACCAAGGCTCCAAAGTCTTTGCCAGAGATCTGTCTGCCAGAAAGCGCCAACTGTCAAAGCTGAAGACAGAATGTGGTAGCATCGTTTCCGGGGCACCTGAGATTTTGAGTGAGATTGAGAGGTTCTATGGGCAGCTGTACACGTCATCGTTGGAGCCGCACGCAAGTGTGAGTAACGATCCAAGAGCGAGTCTTATCCGACATTATTCCGATGATATCCCGGACGTCAGTCTGAGCGAGATTAGAATGGCTCTCCAGCACCTTAAAAACGGCAAGGCCCCAGGCGAGGATGGAATTACAGCGGAGCTTCTGAAAGCGGGTGGAAAACCGGTACTTGAAGTCCTTCAGAAGCTCTTTAATTCCGTCCTCCATGGTGGCATTACACCGGAGGTGTGGAGCAGAAGTGCGGTGGTCTTGTTCTTCAAGAAAGGCGACAACGCTCTCTTGAAGAACTACAGACCGATTTCCCTTCTGAGCCGCGTCTACGTGCTGTTTTCGAGAGTCATTACGAATCGTCTCGCGCGCAGCCTTGACGACTTCCAGCCTCCCGAACAAGCCGGTTTCCGAAAAGGCTTTAGCACCATAGACCACATACATACCATTCGGCAAATTGTACAGAAGTCCGAGGAGTACAATTTGCCACTATGTCTGGCGTATGTGGACTATGAGAAAGCCTTTGATTCCGTCGAAATTTGGGCGGTGCTGCAGTCCCTTCAGCGATGCCAAGTTGACTGTCGGTATATCGAAGTGTTGAAGTGCTTGTACAGTAGGGCTACGATGGCTATCCGAGTACAGAACCAGAGTACGAAACCTATCCAATTGCAGAGAGGTGTAAGACAGGGTGACGTCATATCCCCGAAACTCTTTACCGCTGCATTGGAAGATGTTTTCAAGCTTCTGGACTGGAAAGGATATGGTATCAACATCAATGGCGAGTACATCACTCACCTTCGATTTGCCGACGATATAGTCCTTATGGCAGAATCGCTGGAGGACCTAAGCACTATGCTCAATGACCTCAATAGTGTTTCCCAACGGATAGGTCTTAAGATGAACATGGACAAAACAAAGATCATGTTTAATGTCCATGTCACACCTATGCCGGTAGTTGTTGGGAACACTAAGCTCGAAGTTGTTGACGAGTATGTTTACCTGGGACAAATAGTCC